CAAACAAATTAACAGTGCACATGATGTATAAATAATAAACCTAACAGTTGATAGGTTTTGAACTTCTCCGTACGTCCATTTCACCCACTGAACTATCGTTATTCTTCTATGACAATGGAAACTCGGTTTTGCATTCTATGACCCCTTTAAGGAGTTTTGCAAAAAAAGTTTCCTTCACATTTGGTCACATCACAACAAAAACATTCAAATTAGTGAAAAAGATGATTGTGCATTAAAATTAAACATGATTACCAATAAACTAATGCAGACTTCTATGTCTGAAATATTTGCTGTCCTTGCCAGGGCCTGTTACTTTAGGCAGTAGGTCTAATCTCATCATAGTTGCATCATCTGTTTTTTCATATTGGGAGGACAAACTCGGCGCCAGCATTTTTAATCCTAATCCTGTTTCAAACTTTTCCAAAACTTCCTCTCCAACTGCTCTGCTGTGTTCCTCACTCCTTTGTTTTATTAAAAGGGAAAAAAACAACTTCTGAACTCATCCAAAACACAAATAGATTTATTTTGAGATTTATTGAAAGGAAAACAGCTTGCACTGGACTCGTTTTAATTAAAGAAGGTTATTACAAATTTAGATGTACTGTTTATTTTAACAGTAAATATTTTCCTTTTACTTCATAAATATGTGATACTTTCGGATGGTTTTGGTAAATAAAATTTAAAAGATCCATGATTTGATTGTTATTTGTCTCTATGCAACATTTTACAAAAAAAACAACAAAGAATGTTGTTGTAAGTTAAAATACATAAATAAATAAATATAAAAGCCTGTCCATAATTAGACTGATGGGAGTTTTAACCATCAGATATTGAACTGATTGTTTGGTAAAAGGGAAAAAAACACAACAAAACTTTAAGCTTATATAAATCTCAGCATCCTGAATAATCCTAAACCAAACTCCTAGTTCGTAAAAACAATGCAAAACGTATAAAGTTAGATTTGAAAGTTAAACATAAGATGACATATTTTTTCTCATTGCCATCTTACTTTGCCAAATAAGATTTTGTTCTGTTTTAATAAAATGTTCAAGTAGAACATGCAGTAGAAAGGCTTTAACTGGACAAGATTTATTGATGTAAGATTATTAAATCAAGAATGTATGTCTTAAAACAAGATAATTTATCTAAGACTTCTAAATATATATTTTATCTCAGTAGAACCAGATAATTTGCAGTGTAAAGTTTTTAGTTTTGCTTGATCAATTTTTCCACTGATAGGAAGTCAGTGCTCCTATTTCCGCCTTCACTTCCTCATGTTTCAGTATTAATCCGCCGCCCTCGCGCCCCCTTTCCGCTCCTCTTTGAACTTTGCACCTTTACCTGTAGCTGGTGAGGACGCTTTTGTTGACAACAACGATCAGAAACGAGCTGACGCCGTAAAAAGCCGCGGCGAGCAGTTTGGCGAACACCGTGGAGGTGTCTCCGGATGTTTCCCTATGGCCCCCGGAGGAGGTGGAAGATGCTCCCCCAGTAGCCGAAGATCTGCCTCCGCCGCGTCTGTGGAGCTCAGCCATGGTCTACGTAACCGTGGAGCTGATAAAAGGGGCAGCTTCCCAGCTGCCAGTCCTGCCGCGCATGCGCACAATAAACTCTCACTGTAGGTGAGGGGTAACACTGCAAGCACTGGTTCTATAAAGCCCATCTGAGGACTTCTGGTTACTATAAGTGGGTCTTTGGAGAGATTTGGTTACGTTTAAAGACATGGGCTGTTCCAGACGGGTTTCAACAGGGGGCCCTGCCCCTGTCCTGAGAGCAAACACTATAAAAATTGAAATACAGGTCAATTTTTCTCGAATTAAATGCATTTCCCCTTGATTTGAGCTGGTAGGTAAGATAATATAAGTATAACTTCACATGATGCTCAACATTCCTCATTTTAGGGAAGAAAGCGCTTCTTTTAAGAGGTGTCATGAAATACAACTTGTTTCTCGTAAGTTTGCGACTACTCTCATGACTTTTTCACGTAATCTTACTACTACTCTTGTTGTGACTTTTATTCTCGTAATTTTACCGACTTTATTCTTGTAATTTTATTCTCAAAACAGAAGAAAAAAAATATCTTGCCTGGCCTTAATAATCCGTCGTTATATATTTAATATACCTGCTCAATTTAGCGGCAAAAACAGAGATTTTATTTAACTTAATTTATCTGTTTTTTCAGTGTAATACTAACGATAAATTTGTCACTTTACAATTAACTTTAATAAAGGAGAGCGTTAGCCTCGTGGTTAGAGCAGTGCGGTTGAGCTCTGCGAAGGTTGTAAGTACCCGTTTCGGTCCCCATAGCCTCAACTCTGGATTCCTGAGCAAAACCCTTAACCCCACACAGCTCCCCGGGCGCCACACAATGGCAGCCCACTGATCCCCAAGGGGATGGGTTAAATTCAGAGTAAATTTCCCCTATGTGGGACAATAAAGGGATTTTTGAAAAGACCCGCCCTCTGCACTTAATATACTAAATGAGTTATCTTTACCTTGCCAGTTATAAAATCTTACATATAAAATGTCTAAAAATACCTTTGATAAAAATAAAAAAATACTTGTTCTCCTTCCCTCCATCCACATTCACATTGAGCAGGTTCTGCACATAAAGCCTGATGGCTGTAATAAAAACAATCTGCCTCAAACTTTGATCTTTATTAGTGAGTAAATTTAGAGAGCCCTCAAAATTAAAACATTGAATAGTTTGGTCTTTTGACATGAAAATGTCTTATTTTGTTGAGATGTAAATGAACCCAAATGAACGATTCGGAGCTCATATGCTAGGTGGCCATATTGGATTTTGAGATCAAGTTGAATGACACAAAGTTTTCCAAGAATTAAATCTTAGCAAAAAACCCCAACAAATTATTAAATTTTATTAATTATGGGAAATATTCAGAAATCAAACTCCTGAAATTACTTTAAATAGAAAATTATTAAATACTGTTCCATAAGTGTGTTTAATGTAGAGTTTGATTTTCATTTAAATGTGCTTTACTGGAGGCATCCATGTTTGTCAAAGAACACTACTGCCACCTACTGGTTTGTGACGTCACGGTGCGATATCGGCTGTTGATATCTGGTGTTTGTCAGAACATGCTATTATCCATCATCTTGAAAACATTCTTCTTCCAAATATTGGCTACATATGTGTTTTTTTTCTCTGGCCAGAAGTTCGATGGCAAATCCTCCCTCTTCAACAACAAACCCGTGATGGATCATGAATCGGAAAGCGGAAATATTTCACTTTTACCCGATGTATTACAACGTCCAGATCTGTCTAGTAGTTCCCATTGATTTTGCTTTTAAAGAGGGGTGGAGAGATTGGCGCTAGGCTTACCGCACAGTGACGTCACTGCCGGAAGATGTCAGGAGTGAGGTGTTACTATATTTGGGAAAAAATGGCCGCTCCCACACTCTGTGATCATAACGAAAATTATTTTTATTTTTTTTTACTGATTAACGCTAAATTCATTAAATCAACTTGAACATATTAGTTTTAGGTATAGATAATAATCCACTGATTATTCCTTGCTGACCGGACTTTGCCTTTAATTTCCCAGCTTTAACTAGGATAAATAAATGTTTGTACCAAAGATAAAAAAATAAATTTTCAGGCCCAGGGTATGTTGCACACTGGCTTCAACTCTCTCCGTCCGTGTGGCGATGAACTCTCTAAGCGCAAGTTTGCTTTACCAGTAAAGCACATGTATCGCCACCTCAAGGGCTGGAGTGAGAAACTTCATGTCTTAACAGGAACTGCATTTTTTTGTCAAGCTGTACTCCCACCAACACAAAACTATAGTCCGCCATCCAGTAGCACCTAAGAACACATTCTACTGTAACTTGTAAAAGAAAATAGAAGCCAGCGTAAGGCTTGTTTTAACTTTTAAAATCCCCAGCAGTCATTGAATGCACACAGAAAGCCGTAGACCGAACCAGTCACACCTCTAGAGCACTTTATTAGAACAGGGATGTTTATAGAGAAAGTTTCATAGTCATGTGGCTCAAACAGTCCGACGAGAAATCTGCTCCAGCCGTCTGTATCGGAGGACAGCCAGCGAGCCTTTGCAGAACAAAACGCCTAAAGCTTTCATTTCCCTCCATGTTTCCAATGCAAAACCCCTCCATCACCTGGAAACTCATCTGCAGCGAACAGATTTCACTGAAAAGGCAAAAGCTCAGCGATGACTCCGACACAGGCGGCTGAAAGCACCATTAGCTTACATTACATTCTGTGGCCCGATGATTGTTCCACAAGGACAGCTGACAGTTCCTTAACAAATAACGCAATGATGGGTGTGCACTGGTTAGTAGAGAGAAACATCTGGGTTGCAACTGCAAAAAAAAAAAAAAAAAATCAGAAGACAATTGGTGATTAAAAACCAAACGCTTTGAGCTCTGAAAATCAGTACAGGTACTGAAGGAGCCAGATATGTCCATGGTCCGTCTACCGTCTACATTAAACAATCACTTCTCACTACTTCAGGCGAGAACTTGTAGTTTTCTGTGAGAGAAACTCAAGTTCAAAGCAGAGGAATCCTTCAAAGTCTAAGGAACTAAAAACTCACATTTATTCTCACTCTCAGCTAACACACGCACGCACGCACACCGCACTTAAAAAGAAAAAAAACATTTGCTTAGTGGTCCTGAAGGTACAATCTGTACAGTCTGTATGACCTATGAGGACCAGCCTTAAAATACACAGGGCCCTGAAAACACAGGTAGCACATCTGGATCAGGGGATACAAACATTACTAACCACTGGTCCGCTATTAAAAAGAAAGGAAAGAGGCGTCGACCTTCACTGCACAAAAAAAAAAAAAATCAAAACAAGCTTTTGTATTAAGTCACTTTGCTGGTTTCCCCTCTTTGGGTTTGTGCCTCTGCAAAGGAATGGGTAGTCAGGAGCCGCCTAATTACACTTTGAACCTAGCATTAGCGCACAATTCTCATGTAGTGTAGCACTACCGTATTGGGGTGGGTGGGGAGGGGGGAGCTTCCAGTAGAAGGTCTTCTACAGACAACTTAATACTTTGCTGAAGTCGTCAAAATAGGAAGGGAACGATTGGTTGAACTACACGCTTCAACCAAACTGCAAATGCAGGAATTCAAGCAGCACAAAAAAATATTAATGAAGTATGTATGCATCTCTGGGGAAACAAAAAAAAAAAAGATAATCTGAAAACATCCCTGCTTTCATGTTCCCAAATACAAAACTTCAGTGTAACAAGAGGTCCTTTACTCCATCTGGTTTTTTGTCTTTTCTTCGTTAAAACTCGAGTCCTCTGGTGGTGTGAGTGGTATGGGATGACAGTCTGCCATTTTTTTATGCTTTTGTATTTTTGGTTGTGTTTTTTTTTTTTTTTTTTTTTTTCTTTTTTTTTCCTTTATATACTTGAAGATGTGGTAAGCATGCAAGCCTCGTAGAGGAGGGGGCCCCCGGAAGGGCAGATGGGTGGGTTGGTGGT